TATATATATATATATATATATATAGCATTTGAACAGTATTAATTAATTAAAATGTATAATATAAAATTAAATAAAGTAAAAAAAATAATAAAATTTCATTTTATTTTCATGTTTTTTAATAAGTCATGTTCGGGGACGCGGACAAGAAGGTATGCGGCATATGCGATGATGCACTGGAGTGTGCTACGTTAAAAGTCGTCTCCGTTAGAGAAAGGGATCTGAGGTCATTTATTACGAAAAGCAAAAAAATTAGCGATAGAAAATGGAAGATTTGGAGCAGACATACCTCGGTTCTCGTGCATACCGCGTGCCGTGTATGGTACTCAAAGGCAACAATCAAAAATGTGGCCGCAAAAGCAGCAAAACTGAAAGCTTTATCGACATCTTCTGCTGAAACATCTAGTACGTCAGCGAGGATTTCTGAATCGCCGCTCACGAAAAATAAATTCAATTTCCGTGACTTGTGCTTAATATGCGCAAAGCCATGGAAGGAAAAGAACAAGCAAGGCTCCGTGATACATAACGACTATATGAAGGTAAAGCTCCTCAATATAGCTAAACAGCGAGACGATGACATAAGCATCGATGTGCAACATCGATTGAAATATGTCAATTCTTTAGTTGCTGTGGGCGCACGATATCACAACAAATGTTACGTGCTGTTTTTGCTAATCCGACACGTCGGATCGTCCTTCAAGAGCAAAAGAAATAAATTCTGACTTTCAACTCATTGCTGAGTACATAAAATATTCGCAAAAAGGAAAATTCACAGTGGATGAATTACTGTATCTTAATGGTAGCAGATGTTTTACAAGACAAGTTTTGTATCGAAAATTGGTAGAATTTGTCGGAGAAGATATCTACGTCACGCATCAGCACGGCTGTAAAACAGTGATCTTTTATGAATGCTCCAGTATGAAAAATTCAAATTCGGTATAAAATTTCAAAAATTGTTAAGTTTTTGAGAGAGATTAGTAAATATTATAATAATAATTATTTTATTTATTAGAATAGTTGCTAAATTAAATCATACACCTTTTAATTTTATTAAAGGAGGATCAGAGTTAGTTTCAGGGTTTAATGTTGAATATATAAAAGTTAGATTTACTTTTATTTTTTTGGCTGAATATATTATAACTTTAGTTACAGGAGTGTTTTTTGTTATTATATTTTTTGATAATTCGAGGTTCTTTACTGCGTTTGCGTTATGATAATTTAATATATTTTTGTTGATATTATATTTTATCTTTTTTTCATAAAAATTTTATTATCTATATCGATTTTGATGGTTTATATATATTTAAGAGAGATAATTTGAATATATTAATAATTTATAATTATTATATTTAAAATAAAATTATTTTGGCAGAGTTTAGTGCGTTAAATTTAGAATTTAATTATATATATTTATTAAAAATTTATATAAATATATATATTCTTTATTCCTTCCCACCCCCCAGCTTTACAGCCATGTGGAGTGACTTGGTTTACATTTCGTTCCTAACTTACATTCATTCCTTAACCTCCTTAACCTCCTTAAGCTTCCTTATTTCTATCTCAGTACTTCTTGCACTTTCCCTTATCCCACTTCCTCTAATTCATACTCTTTGTTTTTGCACTTGACTGGCCTTCCTCTTCTGCTTGTACACACTCCTTAGCCATCTCTCTACCCTTTCGTTCTTTTTACCCTCCAGTATTTTATTCTTCCTTCAATTTTGTTCTTTTTACTTTCTGGCATCTATCTATTAGGTGTTCTAGTGTTTCAGCTTCTGTGCCGCACAGTGCGCATCCTCTTTCTTGTTGTTCTAGCCAGTACCTGTTTTTCTCCTCTATATTCCCGCACCTCGCCCTCGTTAATAACTTCTGGCTACCTCCTTCTCTCATTTTTGTCAGATACTCTAGTTTCGCAACTGTCCTTATCTGCGCATATCTCGGATTATATCCAGCTTCCTTTATTTTGTTATTTTATATCTGTCCCAGTGTCTCTCTATCCCTTTCCTCCAGCAGCGCATTTACATCTATCTCTTGTTGTCTCAACCGCTCTATTCCTAAATGGTTGTAACCGTTCCCTTTAAGAAAATCCTTTTCTTCCTTACTGTTCTTGGTTTTTCCAATTTCTTTCACTTTAACCTTCAAACTCTCTTTGATTAGTGTATCCTACCCTTCGTTTTCCTTACTCCATATTCGATCGTTAAGGGGCACACCTAGTGTAAAATTTAAAAAAAATTGATTTTTTTTTGCATTTTTTGATAGTCTATATCTTTAAAAATAACATACTAAAATTTTAAATAAATATTTCAAGTAGCTTTAGAGTTACAGACTTCTAAAGAGTAACCGCTCAGGGATTAGAAAGCAATCATTTTATCTTTGAACGCGTTTTTCTCAAAACTACTTTTTCCAAATTGGCTGCAGTTGTAACTCGATGAAGAATCATCCGATCGCTTTGATTTTTTTTCTGCTTATTTCGTATATGTTTCTCTGTACAATGACCTAAAAGTTTTTCAATTGTATAAAAAATGTAATTTTGGCGGGCCAAAAATCATCAAAATTTTGAGCAAAATTCGATTTTTTTTTTAAGTCTGTCATTTTGTTAAATTTCAATTTTTTTTTACAATGTTAGGTCATTGTATAGGCAATACCTTCTAGATTAACAGTATTTTGTTTTTTTATTTCATTCACGGTGAAGGCTGGAATCACTGCAGCCGTTTAGGCCCCTTTTTTTTATAGTGACTTAGGAGATAGCGAATAACTCTCTGAAAATTATCTTTTTTCATTTAAAAATTTTAGTGAATATTCGTTAATTATATATAAATATATTCTCTAAATTATAAAATATTTCATGCAGTAGTTTTCTTTACAAAAAAATTCCCAAAAATTACTTTTTTTATAGGCGGTCACACTAGGTGTGCCTCTTAATGCACGTTCTCCAGCTCCTATTCTGATCTTATCCCTCTTCGTTTCTTCGAGAATTATATACCCTGGCGTGCAATAATCCAACCCCAAACATCAGCGGATGTACTTCTGCTGTACTCTTTCCAATTCAGCTCTTTCCGCCCAACCGAAGAACTCTTCTCCATAGAACATCACTCCTTTAACACTAAACCTACCATGCGCGGTCAAATGACCGTTTTTGAAATTTCGTTTAGAATTTTTCGTATACAACGTTACTGTATCACTATGTAGCTTCTTGACTTTTCCTATAATATACGTACAATCCATTTTTCAATATTCCCAACTTTTGTTATTGTTTACTTTTTGAAAAAAATCTATAGCATGTCTAGTCTACCACGAGCGGTCATTTGACCGTTTTATAAATTCATGTTATTTAGGACTATATTCTTCTAAAAGCGCTTTCCTGAAATTGTTTTACGAGACTACAATGTAATTGTGCATCTACAATGTGGACAATCGAGCAATTAGAACAAATTGGACTAAGATTAGCTGACAAAAATACGATTCTCCAAATTCTAGGAATCGCGAATAAGATACCGAATGCGATAGCTAGGTAGCTATCAATAATCTTCTGATTTTTGTCGACGAGGTGAAACACTATGCTCCTAAAATAATATTCTTTATTTTTTGTAAAACCTTTTCTCTGGTATCTTTCTTTTTGTGAATACGATCAGAATTTTCTGTTCCGATAAATACTATAGGTGTTCCAATAATTGACGGAACGCAAATGCATAGCGATCTTTGTACAACAGTACGGTTTTGCGATTGAACAGTAGGCATCAAAATTTTACAGTGTATAATAAAAATTATTACGTGGTATAAGTGATATTTTCGACAAAGTCAACAGAGCTAACAATATTTGGTGTGGTATGATTTACAATTATTTTATTTTTATTTCTGGTCTCAATGTTTTTGCCCTGTTTGATTTATAATTTTATATTTTAGTTTTTACTTTATCATTTATATATTTATCCTCTAAAATATCAAGATATTCAAGGAATATCAATTTAGTAGACAAAATAAATAATATCGATGAGCTTCGTTCGGAAGATTACCAAGAAGTTTCCGATATTGATAACTAGTAATTGTGATTTATTTGACACCGATTTAGACGATAAGAATATTTTGAATATACAAAGAGGACAAAAAAGAAAGAGATTTATAGTTAGTTTTGGAAGTTTAACAAAATTCGGAGTAGATGTAATTCATCAAATGGCCAGAAAATATAGTGTGAAATCTAAATGTCATAGATGGTCTTTACAGATAGTTTTCAATAATATCTTAGATTTATCCGGGATAAATGCTCGGATTTTATATAAAGTAACGACGGGTGAAGAAATATCAAGGCAAGAATTTTTATTTGAATTAACAGAAGAGCTAGGGACTGACTATCAGAAGGAGAGACAGCTAAGCAAAGAATGTTCACCAAAAACAATAATAAATACAGCTACAGATTCTTCTGGACTGAAATTTTATCATATAAGATATTGTAGAGTCAATAAGACTAACAAAATTTGTATAAAATGTAAAAAAAAACGTATGTAGACAATGTGCAATACATAATGCCGTAATTGGTAAAAAATGTGTAAAAACTGCATAAATAAAAAATTCTAAATAGAAAAACGGGAAGCGGGTGTCATTGTAGCACTAGAAAAATATTTTGTTTAATATGCAATTGGCAAGAATCTTTTTTAATATTAAGATACATACGTCTTTTTAAAGCGGTCATTTGACCGCTCATGGTAGGAATAGGTATACATGAAATGTCGGTAGGTTTGGTGTTAACTAGGCTATCAAACATTCCCATTCTTCTTTTGAAGTCATCCTTGAATTACTTTTCTCCGATGCCCTAGACTTGTCTTACCACTAAATTTGCTTTTTTCGCTCTTTCTCTTACGTAGCTCGTCATGCTTCCGTTCCTCTCTAAACACACCCCTAAATACATACATTTTTTACCTTTTTTATTGCCTGTCCTTTCCATTCCCAGCCTTTTTCCTTTTTCTTCCCTCTTCCCTTTCCAAAGACCATTTTCGTCTTCTCGACGTTTAGTTGGAGCCCTTCTCTTTTTAGGTACTTCTCTAATCTTCTTACCATCGCCCTCATTTCTTCTTCCTTGTTCGCTACCAGTACCATGTCATCTGCATATGCCAGCGACCAGAATTTTTCCTTTCCTACTAATAGCCCTCCGTCTTGCCCTTTCTTCAGGACTTCTTCCAGATCGGTTATGAAAACCGTAAACAGCGTGGGACTCACAAGGAGACCTTATGGTTATGTACCAACGGATTTTTACAAGCTTTAGTATATCAGTAGTACAACTTTAAGGTATACTCCCGGTAAAATATTTTCATTCACTGGCCAACCAATTTTGAGAAAAAACTTTTAATATTTGCAATTTTTTTTGTCTTCTTTTTTTATATTCTTATAAATTCARCTATATGTTAAGTGGCGCAATAGCGTAGGTAATAGCGTTCCCGCCTGTCATACTGATGGATTTAGTGTTCGCCGATTCTCCTTGGAGAACTTTTTTTTTTTTTAATAAGTTTTTTTATGAGATTTTTCTAATTTAAAAAACTTTTTTTTCCTTCAGGTCCACCTCATCTCATTCCTTGTTCGGGAATTTTCTTTTTGTTGTCATACGACAAATGTATCCCATGCAATGTAGATAATAATTAATATAAAGATCAATAATTTTATGAATTTTTTCATTTATTTTTAATACTATTATATTGTGACACCTGTACGAATAAATAAATAAAAAGACATGAAAAATGTATGAAGAAAAAGACAATAAGGAAATAAGGAAAAAAAGATAAAAATCTTCMTTATATAAACAATCTATGAATAGTATATA